TGTTAAATCCCTGCCTCAGTGAACAGAGCTTATACTGCAAAGGTGTTGGTAGCTCTAAGATGGTTCACCTCATATCTATCTTCATTGTGTATAAATAAATGAAGCTCCCACAGTATGGCATGATTTGGATGGTCTTGTGCATTTGTGATTCTGCCATACAATGCATGTAGACATCATTCTTAGAGCTACCAACACCTTTGCAGTATAAGCTCTGCTCACTGAGTTAGGGATTTAACAAAGAGTCACATCTGAAATTGGAATCCAATTTACCTCCAGAGAATTAAGAGCTTTGCTGAAGATCAATATCACCCCGTCACTACGTGGCCATTCTTTCACTTTTGTAAATGCCTATCTGGTACAACTGAGCTGGTTATGAGCTTATTGTTTGCCATTTCCAAGCGGCCTCCATGTCTCTTCTGACATTCTTGATGCATTTTCTGAGGTCTAGTTATTCTGGATCGGCCTAGCAGAATGTTCTCGAAGTAGACAATCATCTTTGGTTTGCTGTATCCAATCAGCAATATTACAATCAGATCATCCCTGGCTCAGATAGCAGCTGGACCTAACTTCTTTGCAGGTCTCATGTCTAATTTGACAATTATGGACTTGTTAACCTAGGTTTTCTATAGTGTTTCTCTGCTGATGACAAGAACAGATTACTGCTAGCACCAGTTGTCTCCCTGGTTTGTATTTCAGAATGAAATTGTAGCTCTGAAGACTCAAGAGTAACCCCTGTTATTTCACAGATGCTTCGCACAGATTTGTTTTGTTGATCTCTACCAGTAGACAATGATCACTCTCCACCATAAACGTTCTCCCATAGATGTAGATATAGAATTTTTCTATGTCCTTCCATTATGCAGTAGCTTCCCTGCCAAAAACGTGGGAAGTGTGTGTATTTCAGTGAGTGTCTTGCAATAAGTTTGGATCTTGTTAACGGTCCAGTTACACATTTGATAAGACCACATCTTGAAATACTGTGTGCAGGTTTGTGTCCTTATTTGTGGAGGAATGTAAATACATTGGAGGCAGCTCAGAGGAAATTTACTGGATTGATACCTGGAATGAGTGGGTCATTTTAAGTGGAATGATTGTACAGATGGGGCTTGTTTCTACTGGAGTTCAGAAGAGTGGGGTGTGGAGTAATTTAATTGAAATCTATAAGATGCTGAATGGTCTTGACAAGGTGGAAGTGGAAAGGATCTTTTCTCTTGCAGGTGAGTCCAGAATGAGGGGACCCTTTTAAAATTCATAGTTTCAGGACAGAGGTGAGGAGAATATTTTTTCCTTCTGAGGATTGTGCAATTTTGGAACTGTCTGCCTCAGGAAGCAGGGAGCGTTAGAACAGGAGCTTGTTAGAATGGGAACACAGCGGTAATAACTCAGACAGAGCTCCATTACTGCATCAGAGCTTGGCGACCCCAAAATTTCAGCTCATGGCCCCACTTGGGGTCCCAACTCTTACTTTGGGAAGCCCTAAACTAGAATCTGCTGGAAGTGGCTGGAGGGATAGTGGATGCTTTGGTTGTAATTCTCTAAATTCTGTAAATTTTGAAAAGGTCTCAGCAAATTAGAAAACCCTAGTCAAGAAAGAACGGAGATGGGAAGCAAAGGGTTAAGGTTGGTTAAGCAAGTAGGCAAAAACAAAAGGCAGATGGAGTATAATCTGGAAGAATGGGATTTTCCATTTTTAGCAGAACTTGAAAAACAGAGCATTATTTAAATGCAGAGGTATAGGAGGACACGAGAAGTTAATGTGTAGGTTACAGCACATAATTTAACCATAAGGAATTGGAACAGAAGTAGGCCATTCAACCCCATGAGCTTATTCAGCCATTCAGTAAATTCATTGTTGATCTGACATTCCTGCCCTTTCACCATAATCTCTGATTCCCCGACTGAGGAAGAATCTAATTGGGAAGGCATATAGAATGTTAGAGTTTATTGCAAAGGGGTTGAAGTGTGAAAGTAGGGAAGGCTTGTTGCCACTGGACTGGGCGTACAGGTCTGGTGTCGTTCTTATAGAATATGCCTATACTGAAAGCTGTTCGGAGGAGGGTCGCTAGGCTGATTTCTGGGATGAAAGGGCTATCATGAAGAAAGGTTAGACAGAATGCACCTGTAATGTTTGGCATTTAAACACACGAGCAGTAATCTTATTGAAATGTGCAAGATTCTGAAGAGTCTTGACAGGGCAGCTACCTCATGAGGGCATCCTAAACTAGGGATAGAATTTCAAGAGGGGCAACCCATTTAACATAGATGAGAAAGACGAATTTCATCAAAATTTCGGAGAAAACCGGAGCACCCAGAGGAAATGCATACAGACACTGGGAGAACGTGCAAACTCCACATGGTCACCCAGAGCTGGAATCAAACCCAGGTCCTTGGTGCTGTGAGGCAGCAGTGCTAACCACGGAGTCTCCATACCACCCAGCTACTCCAGACAAGTGGAGGCTGGATCTGTGAACACATTCAAGCTAGAAAGAATTTGATCGACAAGGAGTCAATGATTATGGTGGAAACTCAGTAAAGTGGAATTAAGGCTACAATCAAATCAGTTATGTTCTTATTAAATGGCAGAACAGGCACGAGGGGCTGAATGGCTTGATCCTCTTTGTCCATATATTTAAGGAGGCATAATGTTTGGTGGGGCCTAACCTAGCAGAGTATGCAATTGAGAAAATTCTAAAGAATCCAGAGTACAGAGGAAGAAGAGCTGTTTGAGTTAATCTGTAAAGGTCAGACCGTTGGAGTGAAGTCACTACTCATCCAGGATATACACCAGTGGCTGAAGTATTCAGGAATTTACAGACTGATGGCTGGGCCAGAACCTCTTTTTATTAAGATTAGTACTGTCACTCCCAGTACTTTGATTTTTTTTTAAATTCTCCTCTCCTTAAAGTGACCATCTCAATCTTGAGTTAAAGTTGTGATTAATGGTTGATGGCAGAGAGTCGATGAGGATAGTTGAAGGATATAGTGAAACAATACTGACCTCTGCTGGGAAGAGAGGAATTTGACACTGTAAATGTCTCACAGTAAACACAACTTAGAGATTCTGCCATGTTTAAGTCCAGATATACGTACTCGGGCTTCATCAATTATGTAGATTTTGAAATCTGGATGTGCTGTGATATTACCCAATAAGACATTCTTTTACATCCATTCATCAAACTCTCAGTCTCAACAAACAGCCATTCAACAAGAGACATAATTCCAAATTTTTGGATGGTCTTTCAACAGACCAAGAGAAAGCATCATGTCTTCTCATTTTAAAAAAAAGGTCCGTGAAAAATTGCAAAGCTTTCCCTTAAATTGGATTTTCTAACATATGCTAAACTGATGTGTGGAACTATGGTTGAATGAGGAAAAATTTTCAATTTTATAACTCTCAGATGAAATGCATGTTGTAGGCTCAGCATTTCCTCCAGTCTCAATTTTTTGATAAAGGGCTCAGTCCATTTTAAGACAGAGCTTATTTAACAAGTTTAGGACAACATTTATTGACAATGATAAATTGGATGACTGTTTTCAGGGACACCTTCCGGTTTTTGTAGAAGGGTAGCCTGACCAGAATTTTCACAAAATCCTAGAATCCCTACAGTGCAGATAGAGACAATTTGGCCCATCAAGTCTGCACCGACCCTCCGAAGACCATCCCACCCTGATCCTATCCCCACATTTAGCATGGCTAATCCATCTAGCCTGCACATCTTTGGACAGTGGGAGAAAACTGGAGCACCCAGAGGAAATGCATACAGACACTGCAAGAACATGCAAACTCCACACGGTCACCCAGAGCTGGAATCAAACCCAAGTCCCTGGTGCTGTGAAGCAGCAGTGCTAACCACTGAGCCTCCATGCCACCCAGCAAACATTCAGGACCCTGCTGTTGGGACATACTTTTGATGAATGCCTTAGAATGTATTTCTACGTCAAAAGCAAGTTTTTTTGTACTTCTCTCCTGGCAACAATGCAAACGGATCCGAAGAATCCTGACAAAATTCAGCATACACAGGTCCTTAATGGGAGGTCAAAATCCTGGAATGCCCTCACTCAGAAGACTGAGTGTACTGTCCAGACTGGTTGCTGTTCAAGAAGATGGCTCAACATCTCCTTATCAAGGACTGTGAGGGATGAGCAAAAACAAACTACAGCCCAGCCCGTAATGACCACATTCCATGAACTGATTAGACAAAAACATCCCATATACTGGCCCACGGTTCATTGCTTTCCCTCACCCTCCTTTCCTAAGCAGTGACATTACACTGGATATCTTTCCAGAAACTCTGAAGAAGACAGGCAAATTATCAAATGATTAAATTTACATTATAAAAAGGTAACACACAACACTGACCAAAAGAAAAACGTAACTTGCACTGCTACACATTTCACTAAGCTCAATGGTAACTCTGCCCACTGCTAGACCTCAGCAGAGAACACAGATATCTAACTTATGTATTTAGCAAGATGGTGGTAAAATCTTCACCTGAATGATGTATGATTGCAAGAAATGATTTGCCACTTATTGTTCAGCTTCCCACTGAGTCTTACACTCAAGAAAATAACAAATAAATAAGAGCCAAGTGAAAGCTCTCTCAATGTCACTTGTGCTTTAAAAACATTTGGATTCTATATTACTGTTAATTTACCTCCCTTTCCCGCAAGTTTTAGACCCAAGCTAAACTTGGATAAAATAGTAATTGCAATCTCAAATCTAGGATTCTATTTGCAAAATTTAAACCTGTAATGCAAATTTAACATTGCAAACTAATATAATCCAAAACAAAGGTTTAAACTAGAAATGTGGAAGTAAATTCTAGGCGCGCACGTACAAATATTCAATCAGAAAGTAGTTCAACTGTTCAGTAATTGTGTAATGAGCAAATCCTGAGATAAATTATTTGCATGTAAAGGATTTTCTTAATATCCAGACTGACTAAGCAAATTCAAATACTGCACAACTTCACCAATACCACAAAGTATGTAAACTCAGATATATGATAAAACAATTTTATTGGAAAATGTAAAACCCCTTTGAATTTAAACGTACAAAGCATGTAACACTTGTACTTGAACAAACTGAAGCAAGCTATATTTTAAAAAAATACATAATTGAATGTATATATTTATATGTATTTACAGAGAATATCAACTTTCTTGGTAATAAGTCATTTTGCTGGCAAAAGTTCACCATAAATTTAACAAGACAACTTTGTGAATAAATTACAGCTCTGTAATTGCTTTAATTTTACAATGAATACTTAAAAAAAGCTGATGTGTGTAGTATATGTATCCAGTCAATTTATTGTAAGGAACTTCAGAATGTATCTTATTTGGCAGTACTTTGATATGACATGGATAGCTGTGCGATTCAGCAATTTAAAAAAAAATTAGGCATAGCTGATAGTCGCATCTGCCTTCTCACAGTAACTGTCTCAATGTAGTGAAAAATATCCATTTTCGCAAACTAAAACTGTACAAATCATGTTTACATTAGATTTAATAGTATGGCATAAAATTCTGTAACACTTTGTCCAAAAATAAATACATTTCATTTTTTTTAAATGTACAATATAATACATGGAACAGCACAGTGCTAACTTCCTGTATATTATCAGAGCCTGCATTTTGATCTTTTTTATAATAACATTAATTTTGATGCACTGGCCGATTTGTTACAGTAACCACAACACGGCTGTAACCACAAAAACAAATTTCCTTGGCACTGCTGATGTATCTTTTCAAAACAAAGGATCATGTAAGGTCACAAAACGACAAAAACATTAAGCATTCTGTGATGTATTTGACACCTTTTCTTCATGCATTCTCAGAGATCCCACAGCATCTTTAACTGAATGGTATATTATGTTTTTTACCTGAAAAGAAATTCAGACATTAGAGAAACAATTACAGTAAACAGGATTAGTAATAAGCAATGTAATTTATTTGAAAAACAGTAGACAACAATGCTGTTGTTGGAAATTTGGGGCTTTACACAATTTGGTGAATTATTAGTGCAACTGAATCATAAAAGCTAAAATTAGATTAGTTGACAAAGAAATTATAACAAACTGAAAACAAGTCCATACTCCACATTTCACACTAAGTTATAGCAAGAATCCTGTAACACAGCTGAATAAAGAAGTAGGGCAAGTGTATGTCAGGGTGAGTTTTAATTTAAGTTTCTACAGCAGATATAACATTTTAGTATTAACTGATGGTAACATTGCATAGGAACTGGTGTACGACTCCATTCTTGACACTGAAATTGAGTTAAAAGTTATATAAAAATAACAGCATTTAGCCTTTAACAAGGAACATTATTGTTGGAAATAACGAGCTGGATACTATTTCCAACTTGGATGTACAGCAGCTAAAATTCAAATCATAATGTTATGCATAATAGAGGAAAAGACGCACTTGAAAAGGAAGAAAGAAAAGTTATATCAGGCCTTCTCAAAACTTTACTCGACTGAAGTACTTAGAAAGTCCAGTTACTGCTACTATTAAAGAATCAATACAGCTAACTCGCTGACAATTAGATAGCTATGTGCAAATGACCAAATATTGATTTTTTTTTTTTATTCATTCATGGGGTATGTCAGCTAGGCCAGCATTTATTGTCCATCCCAGAGGGCAGTAAAGAGTCAACCACATTGCTCTGGGTCTGAAGTCACATGTCACCCAGACCAGGTAAGGATGGCAGTTTCCTTCCCTAAAGGACATTAGTGAGTCAGATAGGTTTTCCCCGATAATTGACAATGATTTCATGGTCATCACAGACCCTTAATTCCATATTTTTATTGAATTCAAATTCCGCCATTTGCTGTGGTGAGATTTGAACCCAGGTCTCCCCAGAACATTACCAGTGTTTCTGCATAAACAATCTAGCAGTAATTCAACAGGCCATCACCTCCCTTTGAGGGATACATATTGTCTAGGACACTGATGCATTAATGAATGGGGTTGAATAAGTTAAGGGAGATGTTGACAGGGAACTGGAAAAGATGAGCACAGCACTAAGCGAAACAAAGCACTGAGCTGCATTCAGAATTGGAAGAGTACAAGGTGCAGGACATCCTGCTGAAAGTACTTCCTATAATTACACTCACTGAACAACTCAGTTTGGAGGCTGTGTACAAAAGGACCACAAGACTAACCTCAAGCAATTAAGGAAAGAAAGTTGAGAAAAACCCGAACTCCAACTCTGAAAAGAGATCTATGAGATGCAATTCATAACCATAAAACAATGAAGCGGAATTTGATTAATAGGTAATCCAGTAGAATATTTCTGGTAAAAAATTAACTGCAAGATGACAGGATACTGGAACATCTGGTAATGAGAACACCAAGTACATTTGAGCTTTCTAGTGCCTCAGTGCAGAGCACTGAATATTCCTTAAGAGGAGGAGGGGGAATCCGTTTCAATACATTTCACGCAGCAATAGTTATTTAAAGACAGCTCCTTTTAAATGAAGGAAACATACAGGATCCTATTACTCTCCTTGTACGATCAGTGTTTGGAATGACACTGAATGGCACGGGTGAGAAGGGGTAGAAAGTTTGCTACCTATGTAGGTTGAATCTGGAAAGTTCGGCAGAAATTACCGTAGATAATATTCCAGTGAATGATGTGTATGTGCACACGCACATACACAAGAGGTGATAGAGAGTGGGGAGGATCAGGGAGCAAGGTGGAGGGAGGAGAAGGCAGTGCATAGGAAGGGGCAGCTATGAGAAATACAATGCCAGGGCAAGGGTGTGGCATCAGGACTGGAGAAAGAGCAATGCCAGAGATAAGGGCAGGAGAAGGACAGAGGCAGGGAGGGGAGGAGTGCAAAGGAATGCAACAAGGAAGGGAACAGAGACAGAAATAACAAGGAGCAAGGAAAGGAGTAGTGCAGGGGGGTTGCAGAGCAAAGAGTAGTTGTCTCCTTCAAGAGGGTGCAGAACAAATTTACCAAAACAGGGTGAGGGACTTCGGTCATATGGAAAGAGAAGATGCATTGTTCTCCCAAGATCATAAAGTAGTAAAACAAAATGACAAGAGGTTTTTAAAAATTAAGTAACATTTTGAAAGGGTAAAAAAAAATTTCTAGTGGCAAAAAAGCCACCAGTGAGAGAATACCTTGCTAGTGGAACATACAAACAGGAGGAAGCCATTCAATCTGTCAAACGTGGCCCACAATTTAATGTAATCATGGCTGATCAAACTCTTCTATGGCTTGTACCCACCCCATCCCTATAACCATAACCATTACACCACTGCCAATCATAAATCTATCACTCTCAACTTTAAACACAGTTAAAGATTGAGCTTCCACAGCCATCTGTAGTAGAGAACTGCAAAAATTCATAACCCTCTGAAGTAAAAAGATTTCTCTTCATCTCACATGCAAGTGGCAAGCCCCTTATAAATTTTTTCCCCGTTTCTAGACTCCCCAAACAGTGGAAACCTCTTACCTGCATTTACTCTTATCATCAGTCCTTCCATCAGAGGAATCAGTCTGGTAAACCTTGATTGCACCCCAGTAATAGCCAGAACATCCTTTCTCAAATAAAGAGACCAAACGTGCACATAATACTCCAGGTATGGTCTCACCAAGGCCCTATACAATTGCAGCAAGACATCCCTACTCCTATACTGAAATCCTCTCACTATGAAGGCCAACATACCATTTGCCTCCTTCACCACCTGCTGCACCTACATGCTTAGTTTCAGCAAATGAGATACAAGGACACTTGGGTCTCATTGCACCTCCCCCTTTCCTAATCTATCACCATTCAGATAATTAACCAGCTTCCTGTTTTTGCTCCCAAGGTTGATAACTTCACATTCATCCACTAAATCAATTTGTCCAAATCACACGGAGGTGTCTTACTATCCTTCTCACAGTTCAGCCTTCCACTCAACTTTGTGTCGTTTGCAAACTTGGAGATACTACATTTAGTTTCCTCACCTAATTCATTTTATATATTGTGAATAGCTGGGGTCTAAGCACTGACTCCACAATACCCCACAAATCACTGGCTGCACTTTGGAAAAAGGCCCGTTTATTCCTATTCTTTTGTCTTTTTCAAGGAAATGATATTTCTAATAACCCTTAACTGAAACCAACTAATGAACTGATTGAAATCAGGAAAGTCAATACCTGCAGTTTATCCTCATAGTTTAGCTCATGTCTTGACTGGTGTCTCAGCTCCTGTGAAAGATGGAAAGACTGCATCGTGTGTTCTGGTGATACAAAGTCTTCAGAGACCTGAATACAACTGTAAATACTTTGCATCTGAAAAACATTAGAAAAAAAGGTGTTTGTTGCACCTGACTTACACAACAACTGAATTATTACTACTGAGACTTGGCAACACAAACTTTGCCTTATTGTCTTTTTATTAAGGAATATTGTTACTTTTTAAAGGGTAAGAAGTCACATATTAGGAGTACAGAAATAATGATCAAGGCTCCATCTTGAAAACAATCGAATAACATTAAAATACTAAAATAAAATGTATTGTCGGTGAAAGCTTGTTTTTTAGACCACAAAATTGTAAGATGTAACAGCAGAAACAGGGCATTGGGCCTTTCAGTCTGCTCCACCATTCAATAAGATCATGGTTGATGTGTTAAACCTCAATTCCACTTACCCCATAACCCCTCGATTCATTTCTCATTAAAACTCTATCTCAGCCCTGAATATAGTTAATGACCTAACCTTCCATGGTAAGGAATTCCACAGATTCACAACTCTCAAGAGTTAGTTCCCCTGCCTCTCTGCCTTAAATAGGTGACCCCTTACTCTGAGATCGTGACCTCTGGTCCTAAACTCTTCTACAATGGGAAAGAATCTATCTGCATCTACCTTGTAAAGCCTCCAAGAATCTTCAATTTTTCAAAATTAGAACTTTTAAAATAATATATTCTTTCACAGGATGCAAGCATCACTGGCTAAGCCAGCATTGGTTGCTCATCCCTAATTGCCCAGGTGGTGGTGGGGAGTTGATTTCTTGAACTCCCAGTTCTTGTGGTGTAGGTATACCTACAATGTTGTTAGGAACAAATTAACAGATTTTGACCTTGTGACAGTGAAGTAACAGATTTGTGGTTCCAAGTCAGGGTGCAGCAGCTTGGAACTTAATGATGAAGTGTGCTATATTTTCAGTTCTATTCTCAAAATAAGGAGACGTCCAGAAGCTAAGACCTGAACTTTCATTAAAAAAAAAACTGCGGATGCTGGAAATCAGAAACAAAAACTGAAATTGCTGGGAAAACTCAGGTCAGTGGAGAGAAATCAGAGTTAATGTTTTAGGTCCAGTGACCCTTCCTCAGAACTGATTGTAGCTAAGGAAAGGATTGTATATAAGCTGAAGATGGGCTGAGGGGAGAGTGGAGTTGTAAGCGACAGGTGGAGATGAAGCCCAGAGAGAGACAGAGAACAACAAAAACAGAAATTGCTGGGGTAACTCAGCAGGTCTGGCAGCATCTGTGGAGAGCAGAGCAGAGCTCTTTTTTCGGGTCCAGTAAACCTTCTTCAGAACTGATCTGAGGCCAGTCATTTAACATTGTTGATGGAAGAATTTCTAGAAGCAATAATTTGCAGCAAAATTAATAGTCACGTGATAAATTAAGGAAAGTTAATCTAATTAACTAACTTGCTACAGGTTTTTGAAGAGGTAACAGAGGTTTGACGACAGAAATGCTGTTGACATAGTGGACACCAACTTCCAAAGGCACTTGATATGGTACCAAAGCACTTTAGGAACACTGGAAACAGTGCAGAAAATATTCATGAGAATGGTTCCACAGATGAAGAAACATAGTTATCGTGGAGAAGTTGGGACTATTTTCCTTGGGGCAAAAAAGAGAACACTGAGAGGGTGTTTGGTACAGAAATTCAGAATTAGTCGGAGTATACAGGGAGAAACTGTTTCACTCATTAAAGGATCCAGAATGAGGGCACAGATTTACTTGACAAAAGCAGCAAAGGTGACATGATTTTTCTTCTCATTCATTAATGATTAAGGTGTGGAATTCACTGCCTAAGAGTGTGGTGGAGACAGTTCAGTTGAGGAATTCAAAAGGGAATTCTATTGTTATTTCAAACAGAAGCATGTGCAGGGTTATGGAGAGAAGCCAGGAGAACGGCACTGAGTGAAATGCCCAATCAGAGAGCTGGAGGAGAGATGATGGACTAATTGGCCTCATATTGCACTGGAACCATTCTGTGAAGAAGATATTTTACAAAATCAGGGTTCATGGGATTGGGGAGAATATATTAGCATTAATTGAGGATTGGCTAACAAACAGAAGAGTTTAGAAATAAACTGCAAGTTATTTTTAGATTGGCATCTTTGAATTGAGTTGGGTACTGTGTAAGTCATTGTTGAGGCCCTAGTTTTTATAATCTATATTAATTACTCAGTCGAGTAGCATTCCCTCTAATTTTCCTCCCAGCCATGCACAGCAGTGACTTCTGCAATTGGAAGTAATGGCATGATTGGCGCGCCTACATCAGAGCAGCTGTGCGCACAGCAAAGAGGGAATGTTGATACTGAGTGTAATGTATCCACATTTGTTGAAGGTACAATGTTAGGAAGGTAAGTTGTGAGGAGGACATAGAGATTACAGATCATCATACGCAGGTTCAGTGAGTGAGTAAGAACATGGCACATGGAATATAATGTGGAAAATTCAAAAGCAGAATACAAGAACATAAGAAATAGAAGGAGTAGGCTGATCTGAATCTGACTATCTTCTTGTCTGATCTCTATAACTGCTGACTCCCTGTTAATCAAAAAATATGTCCAACTCTGCTTTGAATACAATCAGTGACCAGCTTCTACTGCTGTCTGGAGAAGACAGTTCCAAAAACAACAATGCTCTGGAAAAATTACTCATAATCCTTTATTTTGAAATTATGTCTCCAATTCTTGATGCCCCACAAAAGAAACTACCCTGTCAATCCCCCTCAGAATGTTATGCTTCAATAAGACCATCTTTCATCCTTCTAAATTCCAATGAGTATAAGCTCAACCTTTCCTCATAAGGAACCAACCATTTTTGAAATGGAGAGACTGATAAATGTTGTTACTCTGAGGAGCCTGGGTGCTCTTGTACACAACTCTGAATGCTGACATATAGATTTTGATTCAGCGATAGTAATATAGCTATTAGATCCTCCAAGAGCCAAATAGCCTGTACCTACTTCTATTGCTTGCTTTTTAAAATGTACTGGTAGAGATTGCCTTGAATTACCTGACGCAGTGCTCCTGCTGGTATTAGGACTGCATCACCCAAGAACTGGAAGATGGACCAGCTACGAATTCCACATTCTTCATAGAGTCTTCGGCGCAGTTTCTTGTTCAAGTAACAGGTCTGATCACAGATCAGATCATGGTCAGGTGATTCCTGACCCTGCTCCTCATGAGTCTTTTGATAGGGGCACAATAGAGAAATAAATTTTCTATCAATGTGTTATATTGGGATTATTGAACACACTTTGAATGACTAAACCAAACGGTTCTTGCCCTCAATCAGCCGTGATTTCATAAGAAACTATTTTTACTTGGACATAGTTTCATTAACACAGAAGTTAAATGAATACTACATCTTCGAAGGAATATAAACTTATGGTTGAACAAATTATAGAAAAATATCTTGTTTTAATAAAGTTTCCTTTTCAATATATGGTTTTAAAAGTAATTCTGCAATGTCTTGTTGAGGTCATTTCATTTTATGATTATTTCAATGAAAATCAAAAGAAATCATTGCAAATTTTGTCTACTTACAGAAGCATTAAACTTACTAATTTCCAAACCATTAATAACACTAATTCTGTACGATAACAACTTAGATTCTTTTACAATGTGACAACTGTACTTGCCCTGGAGTTGTTTGGTATAAATGTGTAAACTGTTCACCTTTTGTAGAAACTCCTTTATTTTGTGTGTATCTTTGGCTGAAAAGACATGCCACAAAGCACCTGGAGTCTCATTACCATCCTTCAATCTTTTCTTTGTGGTTTCATCAATTTCATCTTCCTCAATTTTTTTCGAGATAGCTGGGTAAAAAAACAAATTGGACATTTTCCATAATGCTCCATTGCTCAAGCTTGACTGTTTAAAATATGGGATAGAAAATCAATTTTATAAACTGCCACTTTGTTTTCCTTTTGAAACACAAATTACTCTGGTAATCTAATTCCAGGAAGTGTTTATTTTACGAATATACAAATAAGTGTTTAGGAATTAGCCCGGATTTCAATCCTGAGATAGCTGGGTAGTACTGTTTCGCATTTGGTTCAATAGGTAAGAATCTGAGTTGGATAACACTTCATTGGTGTGAAAACCTTTGGCTCCCAAACTATCTTTTGCCCTTTTAACAATCAACCATTAAGTTTACAGTAATATCATCAAATAACTTGAGGAATAGCGATTACTTGACAAATCTGAAATAAGGTTTGGAAAAGCACTGAGTGATTACCCTTCTGCTAAGCAACCACCTACTGCATGCCAAATGACACAATGATTGAGATCTTTATCTAAATGTGTATCCGAGGGTATTCATCACTGATGGGCAATCCCTCTCTATTCTAAAATAATTAGGTCAATGATACCCAGATTAGTTTATGTGCAGTACTAAAATTCAGGCTAAGGCAGGAAATGGGTCAACACAATCAGAAACTATTTTTGTTTGCACATTCTCCCTGTGTCTGCGGGAGTTTCCTCTGGGTGCTCCGGTTTCCTCCCACAGTCCAAAGATGTGCAGGTTAGGTGGATTGGCCATGCTAAATTGCCCGTAGTGTCCAGGGATGTGTAGATTAGATGGGTTATAGGGGGATGGGTCTGTGTGGGATGCTCCGAGGTTCGGTGTGGACTTGTTGGGCCGAAGGGCCTGTTTCCACACTGTAAGGGATTCTATGATTCTTCCTTGACAGTGAAGTTCAAGTATATTGCATTTTACTCCATGTTAAATTCCTTCCATACAGTGAGAACTGACCAGGATGATACCTCTCAGAAACAGAAGACAATGCTTACATTTAACACATTCTTTTGATACTGTCATCAATTATCTTGATAATGAAAGTGACTTTTGTTTATCTCTCAGCTCAGCCCCAAAATCCCCAATATCATCTTTCCTTAGTTTGGAAGAAAGGATCTGTGTTAGTAATGACAATACAGGCTCCTTCTGGTTACAAGATAAAATTTGCCATAAGCGAAAGATTAATTGGGCATTTTGCAAACAACTATTACTTCTAACAGCTCTTCTTGATGATTCACAATACGTTAAAAAAACCTGAATTGTTATAGCACTTTTCTTGTGCCCCAAGACATCCCAAAGCACTTCAGAGTCAATGAATTACATTTGAAATGCTGTGATAGTATTAAACACAAAGCTCATTAGTTCTAGGACCAGCTTATACAGTATCACTGAATTTTAATATATCATATTAAACCACCGGCGGCACGGTGGCTCAGTGGTTAGCACTACTGCCTCACAGCGCCGCGGACCTGGGTTCAATTCCACCCTTGGGCCACTGTCTGTGTGGAGTTTGCACATTTTCCCCATGTCTGCGTGGGTTTCCTCCGGGTGCTCCGGTTTCCTCCCACAATCCAAAAGCGTGCCCATAGTGTTCATTAGTGTAGATTAGGGGGTTCGGTCTGGGCAGAATGCTCTGAGTGTCGGTGTGGACTTGTTGGGCCAAAGGGCCTGTTTCCACACTGTAGGGATTCTATTAAAAAAAAAACTATGAAAATATAGGCCACCTCACGTCTGTTCTAGATCTGACATTGAGTGACCGGGAAAAAACTGTGTTGATGGATTAAATTGTAAAAACAAGAACTTGTATCAATCAAAATAGCCTTTTTGAACAACAAAATACTGCTGGATTGTCAGATTGTCAATTCTTGATTCCTAAGACTGTGTTTATGGATAAGTTGAACGCATTGCATAGGTTTCAGTTACACATCTATAGATGTTAATCCTTTTGGTGCAGATGAAGGAGAATTGGTTGGCATTTCTCTGTCAACTCAATGTCAAAGATGTGTATGATACTGCTAGGATCAATTCCCAAGATACCCTATTGCCTTGAATTTCCATTTGGCAATTAGGTTATGCAATCAGATCTTCTTGGGCTTCAACAGCATTTCTAAATGGTGCTCTATCTGGAAGATTGCAGCAGGCAATTCATGAGTTGGTGAAGCGTCACCTTGGTGAGCATATTTGTATAGTGAGTAGGTGTTGCCTAACATCCATCTCAAGTTGCAGGATCATGCAGTGTTACACTTCATGGTGTTGGCAGAGCAACACAGTTTCCAGGTGATGTCTGTTGGAGGTGATGTTGTCACTGGTGTCCATCCTTATCATGTTTCTAACCTCCCATTTAATCTCCTTGAGCCCTACATTCCTCCAGGATATCTATGTTTCTTCCAGTTCTGGCCTCTTGTGCATCTCTGATTTCTACCACTCCAGCACTGGCAGAAGTGCCTTCAGGTGCGTAGGCACCAAGGAGGAATGTGCTTCCCAATGCATTAGTGGTAGATTCAGCTGGTTTAATTGGAGTCATCAGTTTGTACTTAATACATTATATAGATTAAATATGCAAATTATAAAGGAGACTCAAATGAATAGAGTTTTTGCCAGAATGATATTCAATCCCAAGCCCTATTTTGTTTCCAGTTCCAATCCATGCTGAATACACAAGATCAATAAGTATTAAAATAAAATTTTCAACCTGGTGAAATTAATATGTGCCTGGTTCCCCAAGAATTATTTTACTATTTGATTGAATTTTAAGATTTCAATTAAGTCTTAGATCAGGTCAGCAGTCAGCAACTGACTACGCAATTGAACTACTGCAATGATTCTGAAACCTTAGCACCAATCTGTAATAACTGAAGTCTCAATGCCAATTGCAATAATCTTAATTCAACAAACTTGATTGTGCTACTAATTTTAATGGGGTCCACAGCTTCTGATAATTAGTCTTGAAACATATTTAGCAAGAGTCTCTGGGGAACAAGGAAGATGTCCAGCAAATTAGACAATGCTGTGACTAATGATGCAAGTCATTTTTTTGGGGAGGTTTCCATTGTAACAACAGTGCATGTCATTTCAGCAAATCCAGGTCCATGAACTACGTGTTACTGTCCATCAAATCAGATTTAGCTAATTGAGAAACCATTTGAGAAGAACGCATTTGCGATCTGAGGTGAAGGTTTATGTAACCAAGACATGTTACTAGAATCTTCACTGCTATAGCAAATTGTTCACAATTCTCAGTACATTCAAAATTGGTGCTTCTTCCCATCTATGTCATGGACAGCCGGACACTGAAAACACTACAGCAGTGTTAAAAAAAATCCATCCAACTCACAGTGAAATAGAAGCTTTGAGAAATTACCTGATTTGTGATTGTTTCCATTTCCTTTTGGCACACCAACATAAACAAGCACGTTGACTACATCAGCAATGTCTAGGTGAAGATTGGTCGTTCCATATTCCTTAATGGTTGATTGTCCTGTAAAAATGGAATCATTTAGAAATTAGTCTTTTCCAATTAGTTAATCATATTATTGTAGAAAGTGTACTGACTTTTTATGCTTACCATAAGCACCATATAGTTTTGGCCCCAAATCTGGTCGTACAAAGAAATCTGGTATCCGGGATGCCAAGTTTAGATTTCCTTCTGGATCACAATACTCTGGAAGTGGCAAGTTTTTCATAACGTCATCAAACCTATAAGGAAATAATAAAAAAATTCTCTAAGTGCTGGAAAAGAGACCGAGTAAAGACTTAACTCAAAATGTAGAATATTGATGGCATTCATCACACCAAAAAAGGTTTTACTAACTATACAGCACAGTAACAATAGGTTATTTACATAGCTGATTCATAAAATTGTGTTACTGGAAGCGGTTATAACAAAATAGAGTACAAAATTCAAAGTATGTCTAATTATATTTATAAAGCAGTGTTAATGCAGTAATTTTCTTATAATTTGCTTTTTCATGGCATGTGGATGTTGCTGATTAGACCGACACTTGTTACTCATCCTTAGTTGCCTTTGAATTGAGTTACTGGACCATTTCAGAGTGTAGTTAACACGTGAGTCACATATAAGCTAGTCTAGGTAAGGATGCCAGATCTCCTTCCCTAAAAGGGCATTAGTGAACCAGATGTAGACACGCAGGAGGCTGGAAGAACGCAGGAAGGCAGACAGCATCTGGAGGAAAGGAGAAGTCAACGTTTCGGGTATTACCCTTCTTCAGGACTGGATGTGGGGTTAGGGGGAGCTGCAGATAAAGAAGGGGGGAGGTAGGGTAGCGGAATGGTGGTGATAGGTGAACATGGGTAGTAGGTATGACCTGACTGGTTGATGGGAGGGATGAGTCCAGTTGGTGGTCAGAAGGGAAGGGGGAAGATGGGGCTGGAAAGGGAGCCGGGCGATGGGTGGGAAGGTTATTTGAAATTGGAGAACTCAATGTTGAGTCCTCTGGGCTGTAGGGTGCCCAGACAGGCGTTAAGGTTTTGTTCTTCAAATTTGCGTTCTGAGTCACTGCGACACTGGAGGATGCTGAGGATAGACATGTTGGAGAGGGAGTGGTGGTGGTGGTGGTGGTGATGGTTTGAGGGGAGGGGGTTGAAATGGGCAATGATCGGGAGGTCAGGCTGGCTATTACAGACCACACGAACTTGCTCAGCAAAACAGTCACCTAGTCTATGTTTGGTCTCACTAACGTAGAGAAGACACCTTCAGGAGCCCCAGATGCAATGCATTTATTATGTTTTGGGGAGGGGGGTGGTTAAAAGCTGTGGAGTGGGTAATGAAGGAGGCACAATGGAGGGCTGTCTGGATGACAGAGGGGGGAAACAGCGTTGTTTGAAAAAGGTGGACATCTGGGATGCTTGGGAGTGGACTGTCTCCTCGTCACAGCAGATGCGACGGAGATGGAGGAATTAGGAAAACAGGATGGAGTTTTTGCAGGCTACAGCACGGGAGGAGGTGTAGTCTAGGTGGCTATGGGAGTCTGTGGGTTTATAGAAATGTCCATTTGTAAACTGCCGCCAGAAATGGAAAATGGAGAGATCAAGAAAGGGGAGGGAGGTGTCCGAGATAGACCAAGGTGAATTTGAGGGGAGGGTGGAAGTTGTTAGTGAAGTCGATGAACTGCTCCAGTTCAGCCTGGGTGCAGGATGTAGCACTGACACAGTCATCGATGTTACAGTGGAAGAGTTGGGGAACAGTACCTGTGTACGTACTGAAGAGGGACTGTTTGACATAACTGACAAACACGACACGCTAGGTAGATGTGTCTTACGGCCAATCAATATTAGCTATGTCAACATTACTGGTGGAGCAATTAAAATTAAGATTGATGAAGAGGCTAGGTTTGTCACAATTAGACACATTACTTGAAACATGAGAAACTTTGGGATATGGTGGATAGAGCAACAAGATGGATAAATGATTTCTTCCTATACATTCCTACCTGCTTAACTAGGAAAAGTCAAGGCTGTGGTCAACTTTGCACACCATGCCACATGCAGCGTATGGGATTCTCTTTTCCCAGATCCTGAGTTCCTGATTTTACCCATGACATATGTAACACATCTCCCAGAAGGGAATAAAGTGACAATGACATATCTTAAATAGATATCTGATGCCTTTCACAACTATCTAAAGTTACAGGTACAGTTATAGAGTACCACTGACCTAAAATTCACTTGGAATGGTACAAGTTGCAGACAGTAAAAGGGCAGAAGAAATAAAGTGTGCCAATGCGACTTGGCATAAGATTACAGCTGTCAGTCAGAAGTTCAAATGCATTTTCAGCTGTAGCTTTTACCTGGAAGGCATCATAGTTCTGAAATCGTCACCAGAGGGCCAATCCTTCATCTTCAGTAACATAGACTCCCCATTCTTAGATTTGATTCGTTCTGACAAAGGATAAAGACTTCAATTATTTCAGAGAAAACATAAATGTACTAAACTTGCAGAGCACAGACTTTTGGTTCTTTTCACAAACTATTTTCAAAAGAAAGTTTCTTTTGTAAAATCCAAAATATTTAATTTACAATTGCCTTTAGAAGACAAAGTATATTTGAACATGTGAGAAAGCAAAAATAAACTTTGTCAATTAAATCAAGAATTCAAACATTAATTTAGTTGAATTATTGGCTATAGTCACAACAGGCCTGAATTGCTCACTGATACCACACTTACTGGTTAAGTCTTCAAAACCATCCCAGAAGTCTTGAATTCTTGTGCTAGAGATTATACTGCCATCTTTGCAGTTAACCAGGTCAACCTTCTGATCTCCAAATTCTTCACAAAAGCTTTCAGGTTTCCAAATATTGGAATTTAGGTTTTTGTGTACACCAGATACAAGAACAGGCTGAAAAATAAAGTTTTTGAAAAGATGAAGAGAATTCAGAAGACAGATTTTAAAGAGAACATCTTTAAGAACAATTTTGGTGTAATTTCTAATCAATTAATTTCTAAACATATTTACATCAGATTCTTATTGCCAAATGAATAAAATCATGTCAATCTTTGAATATCTGCTAATTTTGGAATACTAGGGAAACAATGTCTAAATTTTCAATTATTCATACATTTATTGATATTGTAATAACATTATTTTGTAGAGTTTTAATATTAATGTATCCAGTATCAACGGCCACAACCCTAATCCCATTCGTAATGCTTTATTAATTACATCTGCTTCAATTTCCTAAATCTTATTCTGTACCTGGTCGCGTCTCCAGCATTCCCTGAATATCTTCCAATTGCTAGGATTTCTAGGGTCTTGGAGCCAGAGTAAAACCCCATCACAAAGCCAAGAATGTGGTATTTCAGGATGACTTTTGCTGATTGTTTCTGTGTTGAAGTTTTTAGCTTCCTGCTTTGTTTCTTCTTTCCCACTTAATTTCACTGATTTACTTGCTGGAATCTTATTTTCCACTACCGATGCAATTATGTCATCCAAGAGGTTTGGCATGCTTCTAGCTCCTCTGCCAGACTATAAGGGTAAATACAAAGACAGAACTGTCACAGATGCAAGTATATGCAAATAAGCCATGACTACACTGTATTAATAAAGTAAGCTACAGTACTGAATTCAAAAGATAATTTTAATGATTATAATCCACTTATAGAAATCAAGAATTAAACATACATGATTTGATTGCTTATTGCTGCAACTATAAGGGTTGTTAAAAAAAATCACTTAAAGACAGCATATCTTGTGGCTAAGCCACAGAAGAGACGGAACTAAAATATATAATTTTGACTCCAAATTACCCCTCTAAAGTGGGAGAGTTGAATGTAAAGCTAGTGGCTGACAACAAATATTACTGCCACTTTTTAAGTTCACATTCAGCTGTGTCCATTTCTGTAAATGCAGTATACAGGATATATAGCATAGAAACAGAACAGCAGCCCAAGTTCAGGCCAACAATAATGCTTTGCTTAAGGCTCCTCCCATTTTATCTAAATCTATGATAACCCTTTATTCCCTTCTTCTTATATGCCTGTCCAGCTTCCCATTAAATACATCTACACTATTTACTCCAATCACTCCCAATGGTTGACAGCTCTATACTCTCACCACACACTGGTGAAGCAATTTGTTCTCCATCTGCTATTGAAAGTTTTGCTGTTTTATATGGATGGTGTTGCAATGGCACCAACAATAGACTGCCAATTTCCAACTTCCATTATCCATGATTTTTATGACCTAGGATCTTTCATGGATTAAAATGGTTTTAAAGAAAGCGAGAAAAATGACCGAAGACGACCTCAGGAATTGTCTGACCAAGTTGAGCCAAGCTCATGAAACTATCAACAAACAATAACCAAGTCTGAATCAAAACTACCATGTCAACAAAATGAAAATGACTGAAACTAGTCATCCAAATCCGCATCTGTTTGATTAACACCTTTTTGGAAGATTCACATAGTGGAATAAAAGACTCACCTGCAGATTGTGCAACTTGAAAAAAAACAAAAGCCAGACATGGGAATACTCAAATTAACTGTATTTCATGCAACAGCTTTTAGGCAGAGGGGTCAGAGAAAAATGAATTTCTAATAGCATAAGTGAAAGATCCTCTCTCCCGGTTTTCCTTCTTTCAACCTGTCAGAAGGCAACAGCTAGAGCAGTTGGTACAAACATCCATTAACCAAGTTCTTAATTTTCACCATTACTAAGGATACAAGATACGAATCACACAACTGTGATCTTAGGTTTAAACCATAAGGACCCTTAAGGCCTTTCTAAACTGCATATTCTTAACCTATGTTTTTGTACTAGATGCTTTCCTCATTTTATCATTATTTTTCTCAGGGTATTTAAGTTTCATTTCCTTTAATTCAAGAGTCAGAGAGTCATACAACACAGAAACAGGCCCTTCAGCCCAACTCATACATGCCAACCAGATTTCCTTAACTGAATTAGTCCTATTTGCCTGTATTTTTGCCCATATTCCTCTAAAGCTTTCCTATCCATGTACCTGTTCAAATGTCTTTTAAATGTTGTAACTTTACCCGCCTCTATCACTTCCTCTGGCAGCTCATTCTATATAAGTACCACCCCGCTGTATGAAAACCCTTGTAAGTGGCTTCTTCATTTTTTAAAACTAGTAAAATGTGCATTGATTGACGTGTAATGTAACGGTTGTTAAAAAAAAATTGAAAATCTTTGTTGCAGCCAATGAAGTTACAAATAAGGGGGCTGATTCACCAAGCAGCCCCATCACCTGATTGGAATTGAAGTGTGGAAAAATAAATTGTTCTTTCAAAAAGGTAAACTACAAAAAGGTTAACTTGATTCTGTAATACTGAAGTGCCAAAATATCCATAACTGACGCTTTCATAGACTGTAGGAGGAGGTAACTTACAAAAAAATTAAAGGCATAATTCTTGGAAAAAATACAAGACTTAGCAGCTAGGCATTTGGAGTGGAGTTCTACCCAAAATTTAGAAAAGCAGAAATTGCAAAATTGTTGGCAAAACATCTAGAGGCGGAAATTGGACATACCGAGACAAATCAGTTCAAACTGAAACAGCTAAAATCAGAACTTGAATTTCAGCAGCACAAAAGAGCAAAGAGAATTTCTGGACTGAGAAAGGAGAGAGTCAAGAAAGGAAATGAGAAGGAGATTCCAGGACTGGGAAAGCCAACAAGAGCACCTACTGAGACAGCTTAAGCTGAGAAAGGAGAATCCCAAATGAAGACAGCACCACGAATAGTCATTGATAGTAAAGAACTAAATATTGCTGAAAAAAGATACATCCTATCATCTTTTCATTGCACTCATCAGAACAATACACAGGAATGCCAATTTAACCAATATGTACACTGGATGAAGTGCTGAGTTATGTTTGCCACAAACAGGATGCTGCCACCAAGTCAAAAAGTCATTCTGTCTATCATTCAAACAATTAACGTGGTATATGAAGCTCAGTGTGATATGATGCCAAGTGTGTGGGCTGTACTGCCAGATCATATCAACAGCATATCCTTCGGTTCTTCACAACACTCAATGAGTTCACACTCAGAATCCACAATATAATGTCCAATATCAGATGTGGTTCTGCAACTGGAAAACATTTGCTGGATAATCCCAAGTATGCAATCGAATTAAGCTGACAACCAATTTAGGACTGTCTGTCAGACTTGTAGTGTGACATACTTGCGTGTATGAGAAGCTACATATATAAATACAGAAGTAACATGCACATTCACTGCACCTATTCAACTCAACAAAATAGGTAGTAGTCATTCGCTGGTTCATTTCTCAGGTCAATGCCTTGACCAATTTGAATCAAGCAGATTTAAACAAAGTGTGACGTCATATACTGGCGCATTCTACATGGCAACACTCTACTAATTCAGGGTCTGTTTGCTTATCAAGTAGCAATCTCCTCTTATCTAGTATGAACATTGTTACCCCTTTACATCCAGTGTAAAGCATTCTTGCTTGAATATAGTAGACATACAGCATGGAAACAGATCCTTCAGTCTAAAGCATCCAAGCTGACCAGGTTTCCCAAACTAAACTAGTCTCCTTTGCCTGTATTTGGCCCATATCCCTCTAAACGTTTCCTATTCATGTTCCTGTCAAAATGTCTTTTAAATGTTCTAATTGTACCTGCATCTACCACTTCTTCTGGCACTGCATTCCATATGAACCACCCTGTGCGTGAAAAAGTTGCCCTTCAGATCCCTTTTAAATCTTTCCCCACTTACCTTAAAATTATCTCCTCTAGTTTTGAATTCCCCTATCCTATGGAAAGGACCTCTGCTAATTAGCCTTATTTATGCCGCTCATGATTTTATAAACTTCTGTAAGGTTACTCCTCGACCTCTTATGCTCCAGGGAAAGTAGCTCCAGCAGATCCAGCCACAAAACCTCAAATATAGTGTATTTTTGTAGTAAATGTGAAGACTGGTCTGGTGAGGGAGCCACACCTAACTCAGACTTAAGAACTGAAGTGGATCGGTGGTTAGCACTGCTGCCCCACAGTGCCAGGGACCCAGGTTCTATTCCAGCCTTGGGTGACTAGTGTGGAGTTTGCACATTCTCCCTGTGACTGTGTGGGTTTCTACCAGGTGCTGCAGTTTCCTTCCACAGTCCAAAGATGTGCAGGTTGGGTGGATTGGCCATGCCAAATTGCCCAGTGTCCAGGCATGTGCAGGCTATGTGGATTAGCTGTGGTATATGTGGACTTATGGGGATAAGATGGACAGTTGGGTCAGGTGGGATGCTCTTTGGAGGTTTGGTGCTGACTCAATGGGCTGGATGGCCTCTTTCTGCACTGTAGGGATCCTATGAAATATACAAGCACACCTATTTAAATCTTTGGTTTCATAAGAAAAAGGTGGATTTCTTTATTGCTTTTGAGCTGTTAGCAAGGCAGCTACCTTGGCCATTTCAACAATACAAAGCAGCTGGGCAGATAAAGCTCATGAAGTTTATTCCTTCCTGCTCAAGGAGAATACAACTGACTGACACATACACCATGAGTGCCAGAGGCATGCCAGCAGACATCCCGATTAGACAGACTTGGAACTTAGACAGAGTTTTGACCAGTGGGTTTGGCATTTCAAGTTGAAGACACCTACGAAAACCTTTGAGGTAATTCTCCTTGAGGAATTCAGATATTCAACATATATTTTTGAGTCCAGACGTGAAAAGGGAATAGAGTGTTGCGGGGCCCAGATAGGCAGGCTTTCTGGCTGTCAACTCAGTTAACACACATACACAGGTAGTCTGGGAAGAAACCAGAGAGGGACAAGAGAGAGGTAAAAACTCTTGAGACAAGCTGTGTGATAAGGGAAGCCATGTAGAGAAAGAATAACTGTCCCTGACTGTTAGAAAGAGAAATCCAGGTGTGAATTAGATAGAAAACCACCATACATGCTACCACTGTGAGAAGTCAGGGCATGTAGAGTAAAATTAATGGTTCCTGAGTCTCTCAGAGACTCAGGCTGCAAGACCAGTGTCTGTAGTATTGACGCGTCTGCTAAGACAAGACTATTGACCAGAAAGCTATCAAGAGTTTATGTCCAAAGGCACTGCGACCAAAAACTGTTTTAAATAGCCAGAGAAAGAAATTTGCACTCTCCAAGATATTGGGTGTTCACACATCTTGCTAGTGGGGAAATCAAAAGAATTTCCACCTAGAATTGAGTGAAATTTCACTGTATTGATAAGTGCTCCTTCATTACGGTCTACAAGAGGGAACGTGTTACAAGCCAGTTTACAGTAGGTGCAGTCCCAAACATGCAAATGCTAGAGATAAATATTTGTTCAGTAACAACTTGATCAGAAGCAAGATATCTCCATCAAAGAGAAAAGGTCAGTCCAGATGGGCTGGAACGGTAGGAGGAAGCCATCTGTAAGCAGCAGAAAGGCCAAAAGCTGAAAATCATTCAGAAGCCTTACAGCAGGCAGTAAAACCCATGAGGTTTGAGGTCGTTCAAGGCAGGTCACTTGATTAACCAAGGCTGAAGTC